AAGGGCTTCCTGCTGCTCTGATATTATAGTTCAATTTCTGCTTCTTTTGCCGCTACCATAAAATTCAGCTCAGCTTCGTGTTTTGATTTTAATTCATTTAGTTTTGTTTCAAGCACTTTATCCTGCCCTGCTATTATAACTTCATATTTTTTTCTTAAAGTATCAATTTCTGCTTTTTTTGTTGTGAACATATCACTCAACGATACTTCATGCTTAATTTGTGCAGCTTCTTTTCCAATACTTTTTGCTGCTCGATCAGCATTGCTCCATATTCTTTTTTTAGATGATCAATCTCTGCAATTTTGTCTGCAGCCACGTAATTCAACTCAGCCTCATGCTCAAATTTTAATTCATGGAGCTTTGTCTCAAGTGCCTCTTGCTGCTTTAGAATTATTGCCCTATATTCCTTTTTAAGACTATCAACTTCAATAAATCTGCTTTTCTTGCAGTAATCATAAAATTCAACTCGGCTTCATGCTTAGATTTAAGTACATGCTGTTCGGTCATCTTTTCTTTTTTGAGCCTTGCTATAGTGCTTTCTTATTCTGCTCTATGTCTCTTTCATGACTTTCAATCTCTGCTTCATATTCCGACTGTAATGTGTGTAGTTTATCCACACACAGTTCCTTTTCTCTTTGAAGCATTGCTTGCTGCACTTTTTGCTGCTCAGCATTTTTTGCTTCCATATCAGCTTCATAGTCTGATTTGATCTGGTATAGTTTATCATCACACATTTTCTTTTCTCTTTTAAGTTCTTTTAATTCAGTTTCCTTTTCTTTAATCTCATTTGCGTTTGCTTCAACAGTCTTAGCATAATCTAATGTCAGTTTCTTCAAGACTCTTTGTGTTTTATCTCTCTCATGAATTATATACAACAGGGTCTATTTCTCTTTTTGGGGCATTTCTCTTTGACAGCCTGAAGCACTATAAGCATATCTGGTCTGCTATCAGGACGATCTTGAATGCATTGCTTAGCTAAAGGAAGGAGGTCTTTTTCGTCTTCTGGTATTTTCTGGATATATTTTGATCGTCTGTCCCACTCAGCTACTTTTGACTGCCAGAACATAAAGTACTGGACAAATGCATCAGTTGGTTCAGGGAATTGACAAGTGAGAACGTGAAGAATGAGACAGCCATAAGTGAATACGTCAACCTTTTCATTGTAAACAGGTTTAGTTGCAAGAGCCTCTGGTGGCA